GTGATGACTCGTACATCCACTTTGGAAATCAGTATGGAGATTCTTCAGGAAAATGGGAATCAGTCTACCACAAGACCCAGAAATTTCACTCTTAGGCATCCACCCAAAAAATGCATATTCATACAACAAGGACATCTCTTCCACTATGTTCATAGCAGCATTGTTTGTATTAGCCAAAACCTGGAAGCAACCTAGATGCCCCTCAACTGAAGAGTGGACAGAGAAAATGTGGTACATTTACACGGTGGAGTACTATTCAGTGGAAAAAAATGGAATCTTGAAATTTGCAGGCAAATGGATGGCACTAGAAGAAACCATCCTGAATGGGGTAACCCAGTCACAAAAAGAGAAACATGGTATGTACTCACTCATATATGGATTTTAGACATGAATCAGGGGAGTACCAGCCTACAATCCCACTGCCAGAGAATCGGGGAAATAGAACCTTCATCCAGCGACTGATGGAAGCAGAGGCAGACTCCCACAGCCAAATACTGACCTGAACTACTGGAATCCAGTGACAGAAAGGGAGAACTGATGAGCAAAGGAGTTAAGATGAGGCTGGTTTAACCCACAGAAACAGTTGACCTGAACACGGGGGAGCTCTTGGACCCCAGATTGATGACTGTGTGGAAAGCATGGGTGTCATTGAGGAGGCCTAGGTAATCTATCAGGCCTTGGGTAGTATTTATCCCTGGTGTACAAATAGACTTTGAGTGTCCATCCCACAATATGGGATGCTCTCTCAGCCTGGACTCCTGGGGGAGGGCCTAGGTCCTGCCCTGGATGAAATGACAGACTCTGGAGATCCACCATGGAGGGCCTCAACCTCCCTGGGGATCGGAGTGGAGACTGGGTGGGGGACTGGGGGACCTGGTGGGGAGAGCTGGGGAGGAGAGGAGGAAGAGGGAGCTGGGATTGACAGGTGAAACAAGCTTATTTCTAACTTAAATAAAAAAATGTTAACATTAAAAAAGAAGAGGACTTGGCATCTAATAGTAGATGGGGTATCCCCAAGCTATGGGTTCCCTAGCTGACAGTTACTAGGACAGATATACCAGAACCTTTTTGAGGCCATAAAAGGACAAGAGGTTCCTGAACTCTAGCTCTCACTTGTCTTGTTTGGTCAACAATGTTGGGGAATCTTGCTATTTTCCTTTTATCAGAGTGGGAAACACAAGTAATCGTAGACTAAAGGAGCATTTAGCTTCACTGTATTGCTTACAGCCAAATCCTTTTACCACTGGATTAGAAACAGAGTGGTCTTTGGTTCATGTGTACATAGCTCCCACTTAGTCTCCACAGACTCCAGCTTATGTTATTGTCCAAATGTTCACTCTTTCACAAACTGGGGGCCTGGCCTGATGACTAAATAACAATATCCCCATCCCATAATACTCTTTTCTGGGTGTGTTCTAAAACACCAAGGGCATGGTGTTCTGTCTTTTCAGGTGCTGCTGCTTTTATTGCCACCGTACATCCAGGAAATGTCACCTTGGATGGAAGTCATTACTGCACCAAGTTGACGTGGTGACCGTTTCCAAAACTGTTTCATGCTGACGCCATTTTTCAACTCCCCAGTACTGTTCAAATTCAATGCTAGTGTCAATCTGTTTAGCAAAGTCTCTTCCTGTCTTTCATTCCTCAAGATTATTTTCCCATTTGCCTTTCTGTTTCTTTTCTCTTGTCTGTTTTCCTACATTTACTGTAATGTGTGCCTTCTATTTGTGGTATCTTTTCTCCACACATTCAATTTGTCTGTCATGTTTTAAACGACAATTTTTGAGTAAATGATAGCATTTCACAGACAACTGCTGGTAGAATAAGCAATACCTGGTACCTAGCCTTTCATTTTTACCTTAAATATAGTATAGTGAACTTTAGTCTGGTGGGTTAAAATTTCCAGTGCCTTTTTGAAATGTTTGAAAATCAGGGGTCTGCTGATAGATGCTTACTGACCACCTTCTAGGAAGAGGTTGGAGTTGAGGACAATACTTGATTTATGATGTGGACTGATTTCATGGCATAAATTCCCTCATTGCATATAATTCATGCTGCCAGCATGACCTCAACCAGTTCACAAGAAGTGTAAAAATGTAACAGTTGTCTGTGTTGAACCAATGTAATCTCGTTCCAGCAGGGTACTGCAAAAACTTTTATAGAGATATGAAAAGCAACGTTCTATGGAACAAGTTATATAACAGACAAGTGTTCTAATTGTTTAAATTCTGTTTTCTTTTGAAAATAAAGAGCTCTTTCTCAAACATAAAAATGCCAAAATGAGGTACACTAACTTAGCTCTGTTGCTCTTTTCACTCCTCCAAAGATCAATCACAAATCAAAAAAAAAAAAAAAGATTAGAACTCCAGTCTCTATGGTCGTCACAGAAGATCCAATCCAGGAGCTGGAAAATCATCCATGGACTGAGACTGAGCTTGACGTAGAAAACATAAAAATATAAAAATATTACATGCTCTCAGAGCTCTCGATAATTTAGTAGCCATTGATAAATCCTTTGACATTCAGAGAAACTTATGAGGATGCTTATTCTCTGTGCTGAGAGATTACAGAAATCCTAAGGGTTGCATTTGACAGCAACAGTTTTCGTGGATCTAAGTATTGCTTCTATTCAAAACCAACTTAGAGCTCTGTTTAGCTCTAGTGGGTTAATACCAAATAGAGAGTAAAGCAAGTCAGAAGCAGAAATCCTATTGAGGAATAAAAGCTTTAACACCAGTCAGATCACTGCAAAGGCTTCCATCAAATGCAAGGGATTCTACACAGAGTTCACTGGTTAGAGACACCCAGCAGAGGACAAAATGAATGTTTTCTAGAGAATGGTCAGCAAACAACACGTTGCCTTCATACCTGAAATATGTATACTAAAAGAAAAACACTGAATGCAGATAATTTCCTGATTTTAAGTGTATTAAGATTTCATGACTCAAAAGGCAGAGATAGGTGGATCTCCATGAGTTTGAGACTAGTCTGGTCTACAAAATGAGTTCCAGGATAGCCAGGGATACACAGAGAAAACCTGTCTCAAAAACCCAATTAAAAAAAGATATCATGACAATCTTGAACATGTGTGCCATATCTTCAATCTTGCAATAAACAGCAATACAAAAGTAAGGTCTAGATAGACTGGGAAACTCTTGGGAGGAAATAAACAGAAAGAAATTTTCTTTAAAATGGGAATAAAAATGGAGGGCATCATGTTAATTGACATAAATCAGCTACAAAAATATGAATCCCATATGGTCTCATTTACATGTAGAATTGAAATACCTGGATTCACAAATATTGAAACGGAAATAATTGCTATCAGAGACATTGAGGGGTGAGGAAGATGTTGGATTCAAAAATGTCATTGGATTGGAGGGAGGGGGCAAACAGTACATTCTGTGTAAAAGCACTTACCACACAAGCCTAGTGACCCAAGTTTGAGTGCTGGAACCCACGGTGGAAAAAGAGAATGGTCTCCCACAAGTTATCCTTTGACCTCCACACATGCCAAACCTGTATACTCACATAAACATCAGGCATCACACATACACACATTCACACACACACACACATTGTATATATATATACATATACATATATATATGTATATGTATATATATATACAATGTGTATATATATGTATATGTATATATATACAAACACAATTATGATTAATTAAAAGTTGTAAGATGAAAGGATAAATTCTAGAGATCTATTTACAACATGCGACTATAGCTAATAATAATGTATTTATCATGTACTTCAAATCACTTAGAAAGCACATTTTAAGTGTTCTCACCAAAAATAAGTGTCTCAGGCAACACGTATGTTAATTTGGTCAATGTAGCCATCCCACAATAGACATTTCAAAATATCATGTTGTACATATTAAGTATATGTGATTTTTTAATCAGTCAGTTTAAAAATAAGTTAATTGAAATCTTAAAAGTAAAAGTGATTTTGCAAAATTTTACAGATAACTAGATTACAAATAAAATAAACTTTATAAATTAAGTTGTCAGTTTTGGAAGTTGGTCATATTTATTAAATTAGGAACTATGCTGAGAGTCCTACACTGATGTGCTGGATAGTATTACATCAACTTACACAAGCTATTGTCGTCCAAGAGGAAAGAGCCTCAACTGAGAAATGCCTCCATAAGCTCAGGCTGTACAAAAGCCTGTAGGGCATTTTCTTTATCAGTGATAGATGTTGGAGGGCCTGACCCATCGTGGGAGGGTCACCCTGGGCTGGTGGTGCTAGGTATTATAAGAACACAGGATTAGCAAGCCACAAGGAGCAGGCCAGGACTCAGCACCCCTCCATGACCTCTGCATCAGCTCCTACCTCCAGGTTACTGCCCATTTTGAGTTCCTATCTTGGCTTCCTTCAATGGACTGTGACTCGGGCACTCGGGAGACATAAGCCAAATAAACCCTTTTCCCGTCAATTTAATTTTTGGCCATGGTGTTTCATTACAACAGTGATAACTCAATAAGATAACAGACCAGTTTGCTTCATCTTTTTGCAGTCCTATGAGGCAGATACTATGACATGTATTTTACAAATTAGAAAACTAAGACCTGGGTCAATTACCTACAGTCACAGACTAAACACGACAGAGGTAAGACAACTGGGGTCCCTAAACAAGAGAAAGAAAAAGGATCGGTATATAATATATTAGTTACTTTCCTGTTGCTATAATGGAACACCATAAACAAAAGAAACTTATGGACGAAAGAAATTTTGGGCTTATGACCCCATGGGGATTAGAGTCTATTATCGCAAGGAGGCACACCAGCAAGAAGCTGAGAGATGAGTCTCAACGGCACACAGGGTGAGCAGACAGTGGGGTAAGGCTACAGCACCTTCAAGCCACCTGTAGTGGTGTCTTGTTCAGCAAGCGGACTTGGGATGGTAGCAGATTCAGGGCATGGCTTCATGTATGCAGACGTGAGCTCTTATAAGAAAGAGGAAGGGCTGGCTCTACCTTAGCCTCACTAGCTCAGTCAGTAGAGCATGGGACTCTTAATCCCAGGGCCATGGGTTCTAACCCCATGTTGGGCACCAAGTGAAGATGAGTTTAACAAAGTCCACAAATACCCAGATAAAGGATTAATCGTTATTTATTTGGGGAGCCTTCACACAATGATGGCAAATAACCGCCAAGGTCTTCCTGCCCCTGTAGATGCGGCATCTTGCCCTTCGGGATGCTCTGACCACAACCCAAGAGAGCGTGAGCCAGCCTTATAAAGTGTCACATCCACACACCTGAAGCCAAGCCCTAAGGTGTGGCCACCACCCCAAGTCCACTGGTGGAACAAGAAGCCACTACAGCCACCTCCAGTAATGTACTTCCTCCAGCAAGGCCACCAACCTCCTAATCCTCTAGGAACAGGGCAACCAACTGGGGATCAAGTACCCAAATCCCTGTGCCTATTGGGGACATCTCTCATTCAAGTCATCACACATAATCTATATAGGCTCATGGGGTTGGGGTGAGGAGGAGCTGAGTATTTCCATGCCTTTAGGTTTAGGGGTGCTCTCTTTTGTAAAGGCCCCCAATTTTTCCTCTTTCTCTTTATTTCCTTTTTCATTTTGACTTATTGATGATGTTTACTCAGCTACCACCCTTCTGGTTCTATTCTCTACATGTGTACGATAGTGAATAAAATGCCGGGTGAAGTTATATAGCTCCAGAATGTTCTTTGAAAATGGACTTACCTTATCTTGAGTGAGTTTTAGAGAGTTATACCCTTCTAAGGATTTGTGTTTCTAAATGTGTTAACATAATGTTTTATGAAATACATGAGGTAAAGCTGACATTGGTCTCTTCCAGCTTTGTTTCCATCCCACACATTAGTTATAGTACCTTTTGTTACGTATGGTTCTAGATACTCATTTCTGCTATGAGTTCTTTTTTAACTCATGGGCAATTTAAAATTTTCCTTCTCGTTTTTTACATGATTTAATATTTCTGATTATTGTTGCTAATTATTTATATCTTAATTGCATATCTGATAAGAAAAATTTCTATATTATTCCAATACCTTTAAAATTGTAGGATTTCCATTATGATCCAGGATACATCCATTTCTATACAACACACATTTTTATCATGCTCCTCCTCCCCCAACCTCTCCCAGAACTGCCTTCCCACCTCCCTATCCACATGATTTGTTCCCTCTCTCCCTCTCTCTCTCCTTTTACCACTCCCTTTTCCTCTCTGCCTCTCCTTCTCCCTCGTTCTCTGTCTTTCTCTTCTCCTCTCTCTCTCTGTCTCCCCCCCCCGTCACTCACATAAAAAATTAAAAGCACACAAAAGCATAAAAGGAAGATTGTAAGAGCCAGAGCTGACAAATATCTGCAGGGAGGCAGTGTCTCCAGACCCAACAGGATTGATGCACATGTGAACTTCGGAGGCTGTGGCGACATGCGCACGACCTGCACGGGTTCAAGCCAGATGGAGTCCCAGAGCTGAGAAGGAAAACTGGACATAGGGTCCCACCCCTAAGCAGAAAGCTAGTTGCAATTGATACCAGTGCCAAAGAGAAAAATCAGTGTTCTCCAACGGAGTGGCACTAGGTGTATAATAACCACATTCCGGGGCAGGCCCCAGGCCAACACAAAATTAACTTCATGCTTGTTGAAATTTTTGTTTTGTTTTGGCATTTATTGTCTCAGCAGTCTTTTGCTTGTTTGATACACCACCTTTTTTGGGGGGGGGGTTACAAGACAGGGTTTCTCTGTATTGTTTTGGAGGCTGTCGGTCCAGCCTGGCCTTGAACTCACAGAGATCCGCCCGCCTCTGCCTCCCGAGTGCTGGGATTAAAGGAGTGCGCCACCACCGCCGGGTTTTTTTTTTTGAGGCAAGTTCAAAGCTGACTTGTAACTCCCCATTCTCCTGCCTCAGTCTCCTGAGTGCTAGAATTACTGCCATGCACCAGGACCACAGTCCCATTTGTTCTAAAAAGGAACATTCCCTATACCAGCATGCACCAGGACCACAGTCCCATTTGTTCTAAAAACGAACATTCCCTACAGCTATTGTGTATTCTATATGTGATCATTAAATAAAATCTGTTGCATACTGTTCAGACTTTCTCTTTATTAATTTTTTATTGTGAAGACAAGTATGCTAAAAATCTTCAATTGTGATTTGTTTATTTCACTTCACAATTTTATAATTTTGCTTTGTATATTTTAAAGTTGTGTTAGTGGGGGCTCCTGTTAACTAAACATGTCAAGTTTTTCTCCCAAGAAATGCTTTTGCCCTTAAACCTATTATTTATATTTTTGGTTGTGAGCCTAGCCTTTAATGACTGAGCCATCTCCCCAGCCCATAAACCTATTATTTAAATAAATTAATCTAGCTACATTGACTTTCTTCTGCTTGTTTTGTCTTTTTCCAATGCCTTTAATTCCAACCTTTATCATTTCTACTGCTCTTTGAACAATTGCATAAGCCGACTACCACTGAAATGCTCTAATTACAGTTTTGCTTTCCAAAATAAGATTATTCACTTCGCAAAAGAAACAAGAAACAGAACAGCCACTTGGGAAATGGAAGCTTGCGGTTTTGGAGATGATTGGTTTGCTATGGTGAGCTCAGTCCCTTCTCTGAGGATCAGTTCTTGTTTTCTACAGGGCTTTGGTAGACAAACATACCTGTGTGGGCAGATGCCAAAGCGGGAAGACAGAAATGGTTCTTGAAGAGGTGTTGGGGGATGGCTGAAAGAAATTAGCGCCCATAGGGAGTGGTACTATTAGCAGGCGAGACTTTGTTGAAAGAAGTGCGTTCCCGAGGGAGTGGGCTTTGAGGTCTCCTCTGCTGCCTGTGGGTCCCGATGTAGAAACTCTCAGCTCCCGCCCCAGCACCGTGTCTGTATGCACACAGCCATGATGATAATGGACTAAACCTCTAGAACTATAAGCCAGCCACAGTGAAATGTTTTCCTTTGTAAGAGTTGCCATGGTCATGGTGTCTCTTCACAGCAATAGAAACCCCAACTAAGACAGGCGGGAAGCAATTCTGAGTGTGGGAAGGGCGTGGCAAACCCAAGTTCCCACAAGAGCCCAACAGGTAACTGGAGCAATTAGCAAAGCAGAAGTGAGCCGCCGTGGGCGTCGCTTGCTCTTCTACACAGTCACAGTCAAAAGGTTCATAAGCCATGATTTACCCTTCCATAGGGACCATCTTGTCCCTGAAAAATCTTTATTTTATTTACATTCCAACTGCAATTTCCCCTCCCTCCTCTTCTCCCATTCCCTTCCTACACCTCCCCTCAGTGCCCCCTCCCCTCAGTCCACTCCTGTGCTTCTGTTCAGTAAGGTGCAGGCCTTTCATGGGTACCAACAAAGCATGGAATGCCAAGTTGCAGTCATACTAAGCACCTCCCTGCTGGACAATCCAATCCAGTTTGAGGAATAGATTCCCAAGAGCCAGCCAAAGTGTTAGGGACAGCTCCTGCTCCCATTGTTCAGAGTCCCACAAATAGACCAAACTACAAAACTGTCACATACACAGAGAGATCTTAGGTCGGTCCCATATAGGCTCCCTAGTTGTTGGTTCAGACTCTGTGAGCTCCTAGGAGCCAGGTTAGTTGTTTCTGTGGGTTTTCTTATGATTTCCTTGACCCTCTGACAAATCTTTGCCTACTGGGATGTTGCCAAACATTTTAAGAAGAAACATGGTTTTTAGATTTGAGTGGGAGACAACCAAGTTTGACATATTTGTAACTAATTCTTTTGTTAATCCTGTGCAAGCCAAATTAATCATGTGTGTGGCCTATATTTGTAAGGCCTCCACTCCCCTGACAAATCATGGGCAGGGCTCTACACAGCTCTGAAAGGAAAATGATTGGAGCATTGCTGTCCCTCCTCATCTTGACAAATGTGATAATAACCCACTCCTCACTAAAGTCCTCCTGAGAAACATTAAACACAAAGGCTTCTAGGATCCTTGGTCTGGTTGACTGCCACAAACAGCATGATGAATGGATTCTCTAGAGGCAGAAATGGAAAACAGTATGCAGTAACACTAGGCTCTGCAACGGAGAGGCACCAAAAACTTACTGCCAAAATAAAGCTCAAACTTATCTGGGTCACCATTGACAGGGCTCTGCCAACAGCCGAATCCGAACTCACTTCAGCAGCCTCTGCCCAGGTTAGTGCAGTCTGGAAGCCGCCTTGCTCTGCTTCTGATAAAACTGAGGAGAGAAAAAAGAGAAGAAAAACTTCCAAATACATCGGTATGCATATGAGCATGCACACATGCTGACAGGCACACACATGCCCGCATGCACACACATGCATATATGCAAGGACACACGCATGCCTTCCACACACCTGCACACAAGGTGTTCCCAGACATGCATATAGACACACACATGCATATATGTATGCACACATGCATGTGCTCACACACCTGCACACACAGGTGTTCCCAGACATGCACACAGGCACACACATGCACACATGAACACATATATGTATGCACACATGCATGTGCTCACACACCTGCACACACAGATGTTCCCAGACATGCACACAGATTACACACACAGGCACAGACATGCACACATACACAAGAATGTGCGCTGTCTTTCATTCTTCTGCATAATATCTGTTATTATATTAACTTTTTAATGTGAGACCTCACCAGAGCCCTTAGAATATTCATCTTCACCAAGAGGTGATTCAACGATTGCCTAAACAACAAGCTATTGGAAGGGAGAGAAAAGAAGGATCCAACAACCACCAATCACAAATCACTTGTTAAGTGCAGCTATATATGCTGTCTTATGAAGTGCCCAAAACAGAACCACTTGCCAAGATCACAGAGTTAATAAGCTTTGGTGCCAGGATTCAAAACTGAGACTCTTGCATTGCAATCCTACATTTTCAGCTGGCATTACCATCTCTGGCTAACAATCTCATGAGAATCTTGGCTCCAACAACCTGATTCTAAGATAGTTGAGATTCTGACCAACTATGAGGCCTGGGAGGGACAATGTAGAGACATAAATGTCAGGGTCAGGACTGGGCTATGGGTCTCATGACATGGA